GGCCGAAAAATGGCCGCGGACCACGTGTCGGGTGGAAAAATGGCCACCGACCATGTGTCAGGGGCGGAAAAATGGCCACGGACCATGGGGCAGGGGCGGAAAATGGCCGCGGACCACGTGTCAGGGGCGGAAAAATGGCCGCAGACCGTGTCCCGGGAGGGAAAATGGCCGCGTATCCTGCTTGTACCCCGAGGCGGAGTTCACAAACCGAGGTAAATTTTTGCGCCCGGAGCTGGTCGTAACCCAAAAAGTTCGTTAACAGAGGCGTTCGTAACCCGAGGTACCACTGTACTGGGTGGGCTGCATACAATCTCCTCCCGGTTCTGTGACCAGGAGGGAGACTTAGAGTGGAGCAGTCAGCAGCATTTTGAACCGCTGTTCAATGGCACATTGGGGAAATTTTTTTTTGGAATGCTTGTCTCAGCAGTCCCTGGCCAGATCCAGCCCAATTTTAAACTCAGTCTTCCTTTGCTTGGTTTCTCTCCACAACCCCCACCACAATTGTTCTGTTCTGTTCAGTTTGTGGAGTTATTGTACTGACAGATAGACAATGGGAGTCCTGACCCTGTTTACACAATTTATTTCCAACTCTCCATTGCACTGAAAAGAATAAAGAAAGAATTATGATGTGACAGAAAAAAAAGGCTTAATTTAATTCTTCCTCGAGGTTTTTCTTTTCTACCTATATTTTGCAAACAGCACTGGGGAGAGGCAGTGGAAAACTAATAAGCTACTGCAATGTAGCATTTGTAAAATTTGGTTTAGTATTAAAATAGAATCTTTTGATCTTGTACATAAATCTCTCTATGGCGCGGTTTGTTTAACAGTGCTTTATGGAATAAAATCGAATTGGGTGAGTTGAAACATTAAACAAAAGCCAAACAAGCTATTATGGTATAGCATGATTGGTAAACTTGGTTTATATGGCAAATTGCTCTGTGTCATTAAAACAAGTTCAATCTGTAGAAGCTCTGTTGTAATCTGCTATTGGAGTTTGCTGTGGCATCTAATCCTATGTGTATTTTGCTGCCCAAATGTGACTTCATCAAGCCACAATAAAAATAAAATAGTATTGATTAATTTCAGAGTTTATATCCTTTGTATCTAAAATGTTCAACGCCATTGCCACTAACAATAATAGTGGCAATGGAAAACAAATAACAGATTTTTAAAAATAACCCAGAAGTTTGTGGGATGTGGGTTGGTAATCCCTTCCACCTCAGTCCTTTGGATGTCTTTGTAATTTCTTTTAGGATGATGAGTTTTTAAAGTACACATTGAAGCGCTTGATCGATGGATTGGGAGCAACTCGAGAAGTGGCCCGTCCAGGATTCAGTTTGGCTTTGGCACAGGTTGGTGTTCTCAGTGAAGAACACACACACGCACGCACACACACATGTATATTTTAATTTTATTGAAGTTTTTAGTAAACATAATAAAAACGAATACAAACTAAACTAGAAGGAAAAAGAAAAGAAAAAGAAAAGTTCAGAAGGTGCAGGGAAAAGAAAAACAAAAAAAACAGAAGAGAAAAAACGAAAAAGAAAAAAGAAACAGACAAAATAATAAAGAAGTGGTTTCCAATCTTCATTACACCAAGCATAAGCTAATAGAGTAACTTTTCATCCTCTTTTAAAATTACAAACAAAAAAACTCTTCTTCCTATAACCTAACTTTTATCTATATGCAATCTACAAATTGTCATCTTGTCAGTCCTGGTTCAGCAAAAAGGCCATTAGGAGTTACCAGAAATATCAAACAAATAGTTTATCCCTGATCAAATAGTCCAACGTTATATTCTTTCTTTTTGCTCTTCACAATCTTGGCCTTTAAATCATTCCTAGGGCATCTCAGGATTGATCTTTCATCAAGCTTTGGCATTCAAAAGGAGTCTTCAAAGCTTTCACCAGCCTACATTGTAACTCCCATAAAGAGGAATTGCCCAGGATTTCTTGTTGCAGCTGTTCCATGTCCAGATCTTTTTTTTTTAATGTGTCTTTTGTATTCCCATTTTTGTAATCTCAATTTTGTTGTCTTCCATGCCTTCAAATTCTATAATGTCTGTGTCAGATAAGAGTTGTTTTTTAAATTTTTCCTCATCATCTGCTAAAAATTTAATCATTGAAATCTGTATCATTTCGGAGATATTAGTTATTAATTTGAAGGATTCTTTAAGACAAATGAAAGTTATAGCCGGTTTAGCCATTTTAGCTCTTTGCTGCCTGCTCCTTTAGTTCCCATTTGCAACCTTCATCAAGCCTCAGTTCCTAATACGGGTTTAGTTCCATTTCAGTAATTTCCCACAGGTATATTATTTAATTATATACTTGTTTTTTTCAAATCTTACAGCAAAAATGACCAATATTCCAAATATCTCTGGTCTCCCAGTCCATTTAAAACTTTCTTAAATCGAAATATGTTTTTGTTTTTTGCCAATTGTACATTATTTTAAACTCTTAAGTCTCTGTTTAAAATTCCTTAAATCCAAAGAAGAAGGTAAAATTCACAGCTGTCAAAATAAGCTTGCCGTTTTGAAGGTCTCTAATATCCATAAAGTAGTTAAATTGAACATTTCTGGATATGATTAGAAAGTGAGTTTAGCTGGCTTAGTGTCCTTATTAAAGGCTTCACTGCTGCTGAGAGCAAAGATGTCATCTCCCTTGGTTCTTGATGCTCAAACCTGGGGGAAACCGCTGTTTTATGGTCCCCTCGTGAATAGCTGCCATTCAGAGCAGTCATGGGTGATCTCCCATTCTCTCCTTCCCTAGAGAGATTTCAGAGGACGGCTTACTCTCCAGTCCTTCGTTCTTCGCAGCGGTCATTGCCTCCGCTGTTCGGAGACGTCTTCCGTCAGCTATGACTCACTCGGAAGTCCTCTGTGAAGAATATTTAATCAAGATGAAGCCCTGTGAATCATAGCTGCTGAAAAGATGAGCTAGTCCCTACTTCAAATTCTCATGGTGTTTTTTAGAGAAGACAGTCTCTTGAAGCTTCTACTTTCCCATCTGCAACTTGGCTAGTTTCTTCATTTTCACGATTTACTATATACTATCATATTACACTATTTCCTATTTGCTCCAGCTTGTTCCTTCTAGAAAATATTCCAAAGCAGCTAATAGTGTCAGAACAAATAAAAATACACATTAGAAGAAATTAACAAAGAAAAAATAAGAACATCTCCCTTGAGTCTGATGTGATTTCATGGACATTTCTGTTCATTTTCCTGTGTATTTATTTTCCTACACTTGTTTACCACTACAACTTCACATCTCTAGGTGGTTCACAAACCAAAGTCATAAAACAATAAAATTTTCTGGGCTGGCACTGCTGGCTACCATCCAACAAGATAGCAAGCTGGTCCAGTGATTTGTGAGCTCAGGCAGAACTTTTAGAAGAAAAGAGCCCTGTACAGTGGCAACTGTAAATGTAGTCACAGGTTTGGCACAGGTCGAGAATAGGAATCAAAAATATATATTGACCTTTTAAGAATGATCCTGTAACTTATTTTGAACGTTCTGCAGCTTTCTCTCTTCCTATTTTTTTTTCCTTTTCAAGGTATTGCAGGTTTTTGAGGAGCTGACTCTCTTGGCTGTTCTGCAACAGATTAGAGAAAAATATGATCTCGGTAGAGTGAAGAAGGTGAGCCTGTTGATCGGTTTGTAATTTCAGTTTTTAAGATTGCCAACCTGCCAAAAAGTCAGGGAGGTTAAAATAGGTAATAACAATCACTTAAAAGAAGGGTTGACATGACACTTCAGATTGTAAGCTGGGTGGGTCATCTCCAAACAGACGCAGAGATGGTGGCCGCTCTACCCAACCTGTCTCTGCCTTGCCCAGTGGGCCTGAGGGGAGGCCCAGAATTTGTAGAAGCTTTAAAAAAAGTTTTTTTAGGAATTACCCCCCCTCCCAAATATTGGGGAATCCATCATCTAATTTAACAAGACCTAAGTTTGCTTATTGGCCACAGAATGCTGGCTAGTTGAAGAGTTGGATCAATTCATGGAAGTCCTGGGTATCAATGGCTCTTAGGCCTCTGAAGGCGTCTGCTGTGAGACCAGTGGGCTTGTGCAGTTGGTTGGCCACTGAGAACAGACTGCTGGCCTAGATGGGCCAGGGGTCCAATCCAGCAGGGCACTGCTTATGGTCTTCTGTTCCTGTAGCTATGTCACTGTGGAGTGGGGCTTGCCCTAACTTGTCTCACTGTGCTGCAAAAGCTCCTGGCACTATTTTTCAGATGTTTGAAAGTAGAACCTACCTTTTTAAAGTATTGCTTCACTCAACCCACAAAAAGTAGTAGAAGTAACACCTTTTAGGAACACCTTAAACCAAATGCAGCTTTTTCAGAGATCATATGTCACCTGCGACGTCCAGGAGAAAGGTGGTTTGGATTAAGATGTCGCTGACTCCAAATCACATTTTGCCTGTCAAATGTAGCTCTGTGCATAGCCCCGCTTTTTGTTGCAATTGTCGATGTCTGCACAAGTCTTGTGTGTTTCAGTAGGTGTGAAATAAAGCACAAACTGGCTTCTTAAGCGGTTTCATCCAACAGCAGCCTTTGCTGCCAGGAACTATAGTACTAGCTTAAAACCCCACATTTTGCCACCAAAGTATATACTGAAGGTCAGAAGAAGGTTGGGAGTTTTCGTTGAAGAAACACCAGCTAAAGCATTTGGGTATTTTAGAATAGTCATTTTCTTAAGCTCAGATGCTTCCAGGCATTTGTGAGTTAGCCTGGGTTAAAAGGTCAGACACCCCCCCCATACATGACACCGACTTCTGTCCATGTTTTTAACCATCATTCTTGGTGTGCTGGCTTCCTGTCATTTCAGAAACTTTTCAGAAACGCTCTGTTTGGAAACTTTTTCGGAGTGCTAGCTCTCTTCCAGTCCAAGCGCCTGGCAAAGGTAAGGTAGAATTATTTCAGGCCTGTAATTTCTTGGTGCAGGTATTGAGCCAAATTGAATCAGACTAAATCACGCAGAGTAAATTATACAAAATGAACTCAGTTTTGCAAAATACTTTTTGCTGTGTGGAAAACACTGATGCTCTCTGTCCCCAGTTGCTAGAAATTCTAAATCAGATGTTTTTGCATAAGGTTGCTCCTATGATTTCAAGTTTGTCTTGGCATTCATAAGGTCTAGAAGCTTGCTTTTAGTGACTTTTTAACACAGTTTTGAAAACATACCAACTATTGAAATGCAAACATGAACCATTATCCATTAGAGAAGGTTTTTCCAAGTGGATGTCCTCCATGTAGGTTGACAGATGAAACAAAAACAAAACCCCAACCCTGAGCACTATCCTGAAACAACCGAATGCCATGGCACAGAAAAGATCTGTATGTATAAGCGCCATCTTTATTACAGGAAATAAATACAGATGCGTTTTTGCAAACACATAAGTGTAAAATTACAACATGAACCTAAAATTCATGCACTGAGTAATTTCAACTCCAAGTATCTACTATAGTCTATAGTGTGCATAGTCTGTACTATAACACTGTACAGGTAGTCCTCGGTTAATGATGGTCATTGGGACTGGACTTTCTCTCGCTAAGCAATGCGGTCATAAAGCACAATGTCATGTGACTGCATCGCTTAGTGATGGAAATCCTGCCAGTCCCTGTTGCCATCGTTAACTAAATCCCACCGGTCGTTAGGTGAGGACCCACCCTGATCCAAGCCATTCGTGACTTGGTCCCTCCTGGCCCAGAGCCTCAGTAAGGTAAGGGATTCCCTCCTCTTAACTGTCCCCGCCTGCCCATCTCCCCCCCATCTTTGCCCTTTTGGCCACCCTGCAGTGGCACTCCTCGGTGGCAGTGGTGGTGCTGGTGCTAGGGCTGGGTCTGAAGTAGAGGCCGGGGGCCTTCAGCACTCTCAGCTGGCACCGCTGTCAAGGAGTGCCGCCTCAAGCCCCGTGCCACAGCCAGCCACTTCAGCTCCGCAGCACAACCCCAGCTGCCCTGCGCTCTGCCAGCCCTGCCGTACCCAGCTGACCTTCGCTGTCTTCCTCCTCCTGCTGCTGACAAGGGAAATTTGGAGAAAGGTGGGTGCGGTGGTGGTCAGCTGAGACTGCTGAAGGCCCCCGGCCTCTTCTTCAGACCCAGCCCCACCACTGTTGCCACCGAGGAGTGCCACTGTGCAGGGTGGCGAACAGGGCAGCGATGACGGAGGGAAATAGGGAGTTGAAGGGAGTTGAAGTGCCCCTGTGGTCGTAAGGGTGGGCAGGCTGCCAAGCACCCAAATTTTGATCACGTGACTGCCACTGTAAATTTGAACAGTTGCTGAACAAAAGCAAGGAGTACCTTATTTGTTTGTTTGTTTGTTTGTTTGGCTTGTCCCTGCCCATCTCCCAACAATGGGGGACTCTGGGCGGTTTACATCAAATTAAAATCATAAATACATAATTAAAAGTTATAAAAGAGAACCATTATGCAGTAAGATGTCCACAGTTAGGAGAACTAATATAAGAACTAATCTCCAGCCTGAACTCAAAGATGGCAAACATACTTCAGAGTATATTTCAGTTCATATATGTAGCATAGTAAATGAGTTTTTGCTTGTTGTAGAGTTGGTCTCCAGGTCAGCTTTAATCTGAAGTAAGAGTATCTTGGCATTTGTCAGAGTCCTAAATTTGCTTTGTTATGTAAATAACAAAGGGGGGGGTCAAAAAAAGAAGGGTCAAAAAAGTCAAGACGATAGCCATGACCATGTGATGGAAGCCCCACCGCTTTTTATATGGATGCCTGTGGCACATATTGACTACAGTGTGCATGCTTGTAGCACACATGAAAAAGGGGTGGGGCTTCCATCACATGGTTGCAGCTGTCTTGCTTTTTTGCTCCTCCCCCACAGATGCCCTGCCTTCTGTCCCTGTGTACTCGACATTCAAATTCATGATTTGCTAAACAAATTGGGCTTGGTTAGGTTCAATGAACGACACTATAAAGCATGGATTTTGGTCTTCTTAGGACTCCAAGGCTCTCCTTGAGTGTGTCCAGCTTCTACAGAGCCTTTCGGAGCACCATGTCCATCTGAAGGACCTCCCTAGGAAGACATTGGCTGACATTGTCTCTGAGGTAGGGAAGTCTGAGGATAACGGCAAAAAGGGAACCTTGTTAAAAGAATTTGCCTTTGTAAATCATCTGTTTTAAGGTAAGACGGTCAGCCTGACACTACTGGGATGCTCATAGACAAGAGCTGAAGACCTCTCTCTCTCCCACTATTGACTGCAACTGGTATTTGGAGACATGCTGCCTATGACCCAGAGGAGATACTAAGCTTTCCAGACCCTTGATAGCCTTATCCTGCAGGAATTGATTTAAATTGATTTTAATTCAATTCAATTAATTAAAAAAAATTAGTAATATTTTATTGAAATTTTAAAGTTACAA